AAAAAAAAAGGAAATATATATATGTATATATAACACAACGAGTCCATCTTTATCATAGAAAAGAGTCAGAGACAGATTAACAATGAAATCACAGCGTCGGAGAAAACTACCTGTATGCCTACGATTTCCTAGACGGCATATAGGGACAACTCCCCTGCGGGTGACAAGCTCAAAAAAAAAAACAAACAGTTTGGTGACTGTCTTGTGTGTCTCATACATGCTATGTTGTGTAATTTCATGTCGTTAAATGTGCGAAGGGCACGGGAGAACATTTTCTCATTATTGCTTCCTGATGACGTGGTCGCCGATAGAGGCGTGTGGCTGATGAGGTTTCATCACCGCCGTGTGGGTGTGTGTTAAATGCAGTGGGTATGTTCACCTCTCTCGTCCGTGTGTAGGCAGGAGGTGTGGCTATCTCTCATATTCGTGGGCAGCGCGGACCGTAAGTATGGACAGAGTTTATCATTCCATGCATGCTACATCATTCATGTTTGACAAGGGAGGAATGAGAGGTTGTGCGTATGGGTACGGGGGTACTCCCTGTGTCCGTGTTGTTCCCAGATGTTGTCGCATCAAGTNGGCGGCGGCGGCGGCGGGAAAGCGCGGATCCCGCCGCCGCATTTGTATCTCGGTTGTTAGGCTTTCCCGAGAGGTGCCCTGAAACATGGAGGCAGGGCTGGGATGTAGTTGTGTACGGGTATTTTTTTGGGACATGCGAGGCGCAGCTGTGGGGCAAATGGCCTGTTTAGGCCTCTGCTTTTCATGATGGAGATCTTCCACCTTGAACTGTGGAGGCCAAGGCACCCTTCTAGGCAACACCACTCCTCAATTGTTGTCGTCGTGAGGGTTGGTTGATGAATAGAGCCTCCCAACGCCAAAGGTATCACGCGCCCTTCATTGATTTTTCAGTTGTATTTGTACCAGGTGTTTTAAGGGGATCATGGGGATGATCATATTGAATCACCATACTCCAACGAGCGTCACGTCGTGTGTTCTATATAGCTCGGGCTGTTCGTCTGTTAGGCTGCGCCCTGAAAAAGCCTTCGAGATGAGGACCAAGATTTTGTCCGCTCGATCAAGCGCGGCCGGATTGACTGGCCATGCCTCTGCTTCCACGGCCAACATTTTGGCAACATCAACAACGACAACAGCAGCAGCAGCAGCAACAACACCACCACCACTAACAACCATCGAGAGTACCTCTGTCTGCGACTTGCACGTGGTTTCATGCTTCCTCCGTGTCCCGTGCCACGAACTTCGCACAACACATGCCTCCACAGGTGGAGAGAAAAAGGCTGGAAGAGAAGAAGGCTCGGCTGCTGGCTGGAGGAGATGACGGCGAGGATGGGTCCCCCGGAGGGGGGGAGGGGGGGGATGACGTGCGGGCTTTCGCGATACGGCAGGGCATGGACGCCGCCGTGCGAGATGGAGACAGTGTGATGGCCTGGGGTATCCTCGAGGGTAGCCCAGAGAAGGTGAAGAAGGGTGTTCTGGAAGGGCTGCCGTTTTCTGGGCAGTAGTAGCCCTTCGCGAGGATATGTGAACTTGGTTATTGATGTTGGTGGTTTTGAAGCGCTGCTGTTCTGTGGGCATAGTAGTTACCTTTCGCGAGGATAGTTTATTGTATTGTCTTGAATAAACTATTCCGACGTCGTCACCCAGTACAATTTGTGCGTACTAGTCTTACACTTGAAACGGTCGACTCCCGTGGTCACAGGCTAACTAGCCCTAATAAAGGTATACTCGAGTATTATGGTAGGCTTGGGTTTTGGTACAGGGGCTACGGGTGTGGGGCGGGGTTAGGGTTGGGAACCCCCCCTCTCTATTTCATGTATCCTTGCGATGGCGATCCCTACTGGGGGAGTTTGTATGCCGATGTTTAATGTACATAATTTACCGCTCTGTTGGGATTTGTAGGAACCAATTGGGATATCCACTTCTGTATCTTCGACGAATGGTCCTAATATTAGTAGTATTTTCAAAGTCTGGCTGCACCAAAATCCGGTGTCGCTTTCGGCCATGCCAATGTCCAGACATCGACAACGTCGCATGTCCATCTCCGGGTCATGGTATCGTTGATATGCCGATCGTTGGACGGCATGAATCCCCGCTCTGGATTAGACTCTTTGTATTCCACCTGCTTAAACGGGGAGCGGGATTTCTTCCGACTGCTACCCGGCCCGTTCTCGCTCCTTTTCTACAACGCACCACTCTCCTTTTGCCAAGTCTCAAGAGAGAGGAGAGAGAAGGCTGGCTGCCCCCGGTGTTCGGTGTATGCAAATACTGACACCAACAACGACGA